ATATATATATATATATATATATATATATATATATACACACACACACAAAATCTCTCTTTTGTATTTATTTATTTGTTAATTGTTAGGCTTCTTGATCTGGGACCCGAGTCCGAATATCCTACCATAAACATGCAAAGGTGAGCTGGTATGACAATAAAAAAATCCTTGAATCTTTTGTCCTCTACTGGTTGCCCTCAGGGCTGTGTTCTTTTGCCATTCATTTTACATACAAACAATTATCGCAGCAAGTTCTCACAGCATCACATTTATTTATTATTATTATTATATTAACCTTTATTGAACCAGGCAAATCCCACTGAGATCACAGATCTCTTGTGCAAGGGAGGTCTGGGCCTGAAGGCAGACTAGCATGCATGTTTTTGGTCTGTGGGAGGAAACGGGAGTCGTCGTCATCTTCTTTCGGCTTTTCCCTCTTCAGGGGTCGCCACAGCGAGTCATCCTCTTCCACCTCACTCTGTCCTCTGCATCCTCTGTCCTCACTCCAACTACCTTCATGTCCACTCTAACTGCATCCATATATCTCCTCTTTGGCCTTCCTCTTGGTCTTTTTCTTGGCAGCTGCATTTCTAACATCCTTCTACCAATATACCCATGGTCCCTCCTCTTGACATGTCCAAACCATCTCAGTCTGGCCTCCCTAACTTTATCTCCCAGTTGTTCAACCTGTGCTGTACCTCTGATTATCTCATTCCTAATCTTATCCAGCCTTGTCACTCCTAAGGAGAACCTTAACATCTTCATTTCTGCCACTTCCAGTTCTTTCTCCTGTCTTTTTGTCAATGCCACTGTCTCCAGACCATACAATATAGCTGGTCTCACCACTGTCTTGTAAACTTTTCCTTTGACATTTGCTGACACCCTTTTGTCACTAATCACTCCTGAAACTTTTCTCCATTCACTCCATCCTGCCTGGACTCTCTTTTTCATCTCTTTACCACACTCCCATTTTTCCTGGACAATGGACCCCAAGTACTTGAAGTCCTGCACCTTTGTGACCTCTGCTCCTTGTAGCCTCACTGTTCCACCAGCCTCCCTCTCATTTACAAACATGTACTCTGTCTTACTACGGCTGACTTTCATTCCTCTTCTTTCAAGTGCATACCTCCACGTCTCCAAGTTATCTTCCACATGTTCCCTGTTCTCACCACAGATCACAATGTCATCTGCAAACATCATCGTCCATGGGGATTCTTGCCTGACCTCATCTGTTAGTCGGTCCATCACCAGAGCAAACAAGGAGGGGCTCAGAGCCGATCCTTGATGCAATCCCACCTCCACCTTGAAGCTATCTGTCACTCCTACAGCACATCTCACTACTGTCCTGCTGTCCTTATACATGTCCTGTACCATTCTAAAATACTTTTCTGCCACTCCAGATTTCCTCATGCAATACCACACCTCCTCCCTCGGCACTCTGTCATATGCTTTTTCTAAATCCACAAAGACACAATGGAGTTCTTTCTGACCCTCTCTGTACTTCTCCATCAGCATTCTCAAAGCAAAGATGGCATCTGTGGTGCTCTTTCTTGGCATGAACCCATACTGCTGCTCACAGATAGTCACCTCTCGTCCAAGTCTTGCTTCCACAACTCTCTCCCAGATCTTCATCGTGTGGCTCATCAACTTAATTCCCCTGTAGTTGCTACAACTCTGTACATCACCCTTGTTCTTAAAAATGGGCACCAGCACACTTCTCCATTCCTGAGGCATTTTCTCACCCTCAAATATGCCATTGAATATTTGAGTCAAAAACCTCACTGCCATCTCTCCAAGACATTTCCAAACCTCCACTGGTATGTCATCAGGTCCTACTGCCTTCTCCATCTTCATTCTTTTCAGAGCTTTCCGGACTTCACCCTCACTAATCTTTCCCATTTCCTGGTCCACAGTTTCTATGACCTCTACTCTTCTTTCTCTTTCATTCTCTTCATTCATTAGCTCCTCAAAGTACTCCTTCCATCTTCCTGTCACACTCTCCTCACTTGTTAGAACATTACCATTCCTATCTTTAATAAGCCTAACCTGCTGCACATCCTTTCCAGCCTGATCTCTCTGTCTTGCCAATCGATACAAGTCCTTCTTGCCCTCTTTAGTGTCCAGTCTTCCATACAACTCATCATACGCCCTCTGCTTTGCCTTAGCTACTTCCCTCTTTGCTCTACGTCCCATTTCCTTATATTCCTGTCTCTTCTCTTCAGTCCTCTCACTGTCATATTTCTTCTTGGCTAATCTCTTTCTTTGAAAGGCATCCTGCACTTCACTATTCCACCACCAGGTTTCCTTATCATCCATTCTCTGTCCAGATGACACACCAAGTACCTTCCTACCTGTCTCTTTAATTACTGTTCCTGTAGTAGCCCAGTCATTTGGAAGCTCTTTCTTACTACCCAGAGCCTTTAACAGCTCCTCTCTGAATTTCTCACAACATTCTTCCTTCTTCATCTTCCACCATTTGGTCTTCTTCTTTGATTTTACTCTTTTTCTCTTCTTCACAACAACAGTCATTCTACACACAACCATCCGATGCTGTCTGGCCATGCTCTCCCCTGCCACAACCTTACAGTCTCCAACCTCCCTCAGGTTGCCTCTTCTACAAAGAATGCAGTCGACCTGCATACTCCTTCTTCCACTCTTATAGGTCACTTTATGTTCCTCCCTCTTTTGGAAATAGGTATTGACTATAGACATTTCCATTCTCTTGGCAAAATCCACCACCATCTGTCCTTCCTGGTTTCTTTCCTTGACACCAAACCTACCCATCACTTCCTCATCTCCTCTGTTTCCTTTACCAACGTGTCCATTCAGGTCTGCTCTGATCATTACTCTCTCCTCCCTGGGAATACTCTCTATCACTTCATCCATATCTTTCCAAAATATATCACATCCAACCTGTGGAGCATAACCACTAACGATGTTTAGCATTAGACCTTCTACTTGTACCTTCAGGCACATAACCCTATCTGACACTCTCTTCACCTCTACTACATTGTTTGCCAACTTCTTCTTTAGGACCACCCCTACCCCATTTCTCTTTCTATCCACACTAGGGCTAAGTACCGAACCGAGGTTCTTTTATGGCATCGACCGAACTTCACCAGTCGGTGTATGTATTGAAACATCACTCTTCTTTCGGTGTCAAGTTTCAGTATTGGCTGTAACGTGTCACGTGGTTTCAGCATGCAGGCAGGCAAAACACCAGACATATGACAAACAGACTACACCCAGATTACATCCAGAGCTGTATAGAGCTGCTGTACCTAATCTATGTATAATTATGTCTATGGTGCTGGTGACGCCCACAGACGGGTTCACGTGTGCGGCGCGTTCGACAACACGTGCTGCAGAAAGTTGCTCCGTGTTTTTCTAAGAGGAGAGAAGAGTTCATTAGCCTCCCCCCTACTCCTCCCCCCTCCTCCTTCTCCTCTCACCATTAAAGTCAGCATGTGAGTAGAGCCTGAACATCCTGATTCATTATCTCCACGACCGGACTCTTCATCAAAGAACTCCGAGGACGTCTCTGTGAGTTTTAGCTGGTGAGTTACGTTTGTTAGTGTAACTGCAGCTTAACACGTACATCGCGGTGAAATAAATTATGATCCATGTAACGCTAACTTTAACATATTAGTGTGTAAATTTATTTTATCTACGTAGCTAGCTAAACTCAGAAGCTAACTAAAGATTGACAGTAACATAAATCTTAGCTTGTAGAACTGCTCGTCCTTACAGTCAGCTTCTTAAACAGTTCACTAATGTTCACTGTTTATGTTCATGTTCTCCTCACATGAGGTTCTGACCCAGATGTGAGGAGGACAAAAGAAAAGCGAAGTGGGGGCCACAGGACAATCAGACTTTGTTGTTGTTAACAATTTGCTGCTTTTTCTACAGTGGAGCTGCATGTTGGAGGTAAATTAAACTTTAAAGGATTTTGTTGACCAGTTAAACCTTTATCTCTCAGCCTAGAACATGTTTTTTGAGCAATAATAACACAACCATGTTATTGTTGATGTTTTGTTCTCATGTCAATTAGGGAGATGATCAGAGCCTTAAACCCCAGAGATCCACAGAGAAGATTCAGGCAGAGACACATAGGTGCAGAAGTCTGCATCAACTCTACCTCATTGAATCCAGTGACCTGCTGGTGGAATGTGAGGGACAATATGTCAAACTGCCAACCAGGTATCTGTGTGTGCAACAATCATCATCTACAACCTCAGAGTGAACATTTTCTACTGCTGGAGACACCATCAGCCAGGAGTGGGCTTGTTTGTGTCCAGAGAAAACAGACATGTTGATGTTTCTGAAGAAAAACAGTTCAGTGAAAAGGTCCTCAGTGTGAAGCAGTGAGCATTAGACACTGACGTGTCACTGGTTTGTAACTGGTCTTTTGACCTGGAAATTATTTGTTTGTTTTTATGTAAGAAAACTGCTTGGAATAGAAAAATACCAAAGTTAAAAAATAAAACTCACAATTTGTACTGTAATGTGTAACGTAATTTTATTCTTGTTAGAATTAATAGTAATTACAAAATTGGTACCGAAAAAAGAACCGTCCAGGAACCGACACCGAAGTGAAGGTACCGAC